TTTTTTTCCAACTGTGATGCCAACTTTTTTTTTTTAAGGAAAAAACCTCTCCTACAATAAGTTCTATTAGCCTATGACTCCCATTTAATAACTCCAATGAAAATAATCATGTGGCAGAAAATGCTACAAATATCTAAGCATGGGAGTCAATAGTCAAAATTAAGGCCGACATGTAAGACGTAACAGGAGTTTGCTTCTCTCTGGAGTGATGTTAGGTATGTACAGGACTGTTCCTTACATAGCCCAACTCAAAGCCCATCTCTGAATTCTCCTGACCTTTCCCTGTGAGGGTGAATAACTTACACAAGGAAGGGCACTCTCATTCCCTCCGAGATTAACATCTTCCTTAGCTTCCTCTAGACCAACAGGAAATATCACTTATCACCTCGCTGCCTTACTAATTTTCAGTTAGGGGAATTGCAACACTGTGTCCCTTTGCTCTGTGGAAAATGTAACTACCTCTAGTTACTTGTCATCTTGGGAGCGTGATGGCATGAAGAAGTCCCAGTTAAACAAAATCGGATATGGTCACTTGAAAAAGTGAAACACGCCTTGCCTTTGGGCACATAGGGTTATAAATCCACAAAGCGAGGTATTTGAAGCAGCCTGCTGAATCCTGAAGACCTTCAGTTACCGGATCAATCCTAGAAGGCTGTTACTGCTTGGCAGAAGGCCAAAAAAATGCCCTAAGGCTGTTTTTGCTTGCTTTAGATACTCCATCAATCAGGACTGGAGCATACAAACCATCATACTACTACCGCTCGCTTTGAATTTTGGGTTGTTTGAAACTTAACTGGTCTTAGGAACCTAATCCTCTAATTTTGTTTTTTATAACAATATTTTGAGAGAGAAAGCAGAAGTGAAAAAAAAACCAGTGACCCACCCCACTCTTAGCTTGGGTAAATTGAAACAGATTGGATACTTACTTGACTCAAACATAACCTTTTATCATCCAAGACAGAATAGCAATGTATTTCTATGAAAAAAATATTCAAAACCCTATTTAGACTGAAACTCTCAAGGCCCTGAGTGCACCCTCCTTCCTATGATTTTAGTCAGCTGTGTTCAAGGCCAGCTCACCGTTAAGAGCTATAATGAAGAACGT